TATTGCACATGGAATTGTAGAGAGGTTAGGTTTGAAACCTAAGTTAGTGAATTGCCTTATTAAGATAGAATTACCAGATGGTGTGAGTGTGGTGACTCAGGAGATGCTACCAGCTGAGTTCATAGTGATCCAGGGAAGGGAGCTACCAGTAGAATTGATAGTATTTGATGTGCCTAACTTTGATGTAATTTTAGGCATGGAATTCCTTGGGAGAAATGGAGTACAGATTGATTGCCAGAAGAAGAAAGCAAGGTTTAATTTAGAGGATGGCGACAAGTTTAGTTTCGGTGAGGGCCACCAACTTAGTATGTTGATTAGTAATTTTAAGGCTAGAAAGATGTTGAGAAAAGGGTGCTTGGGGTATATTGCCCACGTGGTGCATCGTAGTGAGGTCCCACAAACAGAGATTTAGAAGGTACCAGTAGTCTGGGAATTTCTAGATGTGTTTCCAAAAGATTTGCTTGGTTTACCTCCAGAAAGAGAAGTTGAGTTTAGCATAGAATTGGCACTAGGGACAACACCAATTTTGAAAGCCCCATATTGAATGGCCCCAGCCGAACTACAGGAATTGAAGAAGCGGTTTCAGGAGCTTTTAGACAAGGGTTTTATTCGCCTTAGCCATTCTCTCTGGGGTGCTCCGATTGTGTTTGTAAAGAAGAAAGATGGATTCTTATGGATGTGTATCGATTACAGAGAGCTGAATAAAGTAACAGTAAGAATAAGTACATGTTACCTTGCATAGATGATTTGTTTGATCAGTTTGAAGGGACAGTTGTGTTTTCCAAGATTGATTTGAGGTCGGGTTACCATCAAATGAGTGTTGCAGAACATAATATTAGTAAGACTGCTTTCCGAACCAGATGTGGGCACTACGAGATTGTGGTGATGCCTTTTGGGTTAACGAATGCCCCAGCAGTGTTTATGGACTTGATGAACCGAGTATTCTAGGATTGTCTTGATCGATATATAGTAGTGTTCATTGATGACATTTTTGTTTATTCTAAGACAGCTAAAGAGCATGAGCAACACTTAAAATTTGTGCTACAGCGATTGAGAAAGAGGAAGCTGTATGCAAAATTTTCTAAGTGTGAGTTTTGGTTGAATCAAGTTATCTTCCTAGGGCATACAATTTCTAGGGATGGTATCTCAGTGGATCCGAGTAAAATGGAAGCAATTTTAGAATGGCAAAGGCGAAAGACAATAAAGGAAGTCAGAAGTTTCTTGGGGTTAGTAGGCTACTACAAGCGGTTTGTAGCAGGGTTTACTCAGTTAGCTAAGATGCTTACAACTCTAACAAAGCAGAAAACTCCTTTTATATGGTCGGGTGCCTGTGAAGAAAGTTTTCGAGAGCTTAAAAGCAGATTGACCACAGTTCCTATCCTTGTGCTACCACAAGAGGGTGTAGATTATGATATTTTTACAGATGCCTCGTTACAAGGACTGGGTGCAGTATTGATGTAGTCGGGTAGGGTGATAGCTTATACATCTCGACAGTTAAAAGAATACGAGACAAGATACCCTATGCATGATTTAGAGTTGGCCGCTGTAGTATTTGCATTAAAGATATAGAGGCATTACCTTTATGGTGCAAAAAGTAATATCTACACTGATCATAAGAGTTTGAAGTACTTTTTCACTCAAAGGGAGCTAAATATGAGACAAAGGAGGTGGTTAGAGCTGGTTAAAGATTATGATTATGAGATTAAATATCAGCCTGGAAAGGCCAATGTTGTAACCAATGCTTTGAGTAGAAAGGCCTACTTGTCACAACTCACCAAACCAAAAGAATTGATAGAGGAGTTGTGTAAAGAGCAAATAGAGGTGTCACCGGGAAGACTTACTAGATTGGAGATTCAGTCAACTTTACTGGAAGAGATTAAAGGGAAACAAGCTGATGACGAGTGGTGTCAAAAGATAAGGCAGCAAGTGATGAAAGGCAAGACATCAGAATTTCACTTGTTGGACGGTGTCCTTCGTTTTCGGAATCGGTTATGTATTCCCCAAGATACTGAGTTGAAGAAGAAGATTCTTGTGGAGGCACATGAGATACCATATACTGCTCATCCTGGAGGAACCAAGATGTATCAAGATGCAAAGAAAGGTTATTGGTGGCCAGGTATGAAGAAAGACATTGGTGATTATGTGGCTAAATGTTTGATTTGTCAACAGGTGAAAGCTGAACATCAGAGGCCATCATGTTTGCTTCAGCTGCTAAGCATTCCTAAATAGAAATGGGAAAGTATTTCCATGGATTTCATTATAAGCCTTCCACGGGTTCAAAGAAGTTATAATGCAATATGGGTGATAGTAGACAGATTAACTAAATCAGCCCATTTTCTTCCACTTAAGGAGAGCACTAGTTCTGATCAACTAGCCCAGATTTATATCAAGGAAGTGGTAAGGTTGCATGGAGTACCCAATGCCATAGTATCAGGCAGAGATTCGAGATTTGTCTCAGCTTTCTTGACTAGTTTACAGAGGAACTTGGGTATGAGGTTGGCTTTTAGTACCGCCTATCATCCTCAGACAGATGGCCAGACTAAGAGAACGAATCAAGTGCTCGAGGATATGTTGAGAGTTTGTTGCATGGATTATAGACAATCCTGGCACGAGATGTTACCCTTAATGGAGTTTGCTTATAACAATAGCTACCAGTCTACGATTAAGATGGCTCCTTACGAGGCCTTGTATGGTAGACGATGTAGATCTCTACTGCATTGGGATGAAGTAGTGTAATGACTTCTTTCTACTAATATGCTCAACAAAGATACTTAATAAAAATACATATATATAGACTAAAAAGTAGTTGGGCCCAAGTTTTTTTTTTTTTTTTTACTTAATATATACATTCTTTACACAGTACAAAAATAACATATACAAAAACTATCAAAATGGTGGATAGTGTAGCCATGTCTCTCCGCTTGCCGATGTCCATCCGACCGCATCCTCACCTATTTCCTACAAAAACATAGAAAGCAACGAGGTGAGCACAAAAATGCTCAGTAAGTAAATCCTCTACTCTGCTATCCCCGTGCATCACTCTTTAATTCTTTCCTTACTCTACTCTTTGTCTTCTTTTTCTTTCTGTTTCTACTCTCACTGTTCTTTTCTTTCTTCTACTCTCTATTCTTTCTTTTTATTCTTTCTATTCTTCCTAACCATGTTGAAATTCATGGCAATGTACATGAATAAATGCATAGCAATAATGCACAAAAATGCTTTTTCTTTCTTATCTCTATTTTCTTGTTCTATTCTTCTTTTTCTTTCTTTTCTTATCTTTGCTGATCAGACTCGGTTGATGTATGGATTCAGAACCTTGGCCTGTGAGGGAGTACAGTCCTCATCTACATGCACTTATGGACCATACAAATTTTCTTTCTTCTTAGGCCACTCAATTAAGGGGCATGCATGTAGGAATCTTCTGGTACAACCTCATCCAAACTTACTCTTACGGGTCATAAATTCTTCTTCTTCTATGCCACTCAATTAAGGTGACGTGTATGTGGGAATTCTTCTTACACTCACGGTTCCCCATCCAACCAACCTATTCTTTACTTTTCTAACACTCTTTAATTCTTTAATGCTTATTCTTCCTTTCTTTTATCTTAGAGTGTTTATTCTTTCTTTCTTTATTCTTTATTCTTTATTATTTATTCTTTATTCTTTCCTATGTTTACAAATACACAATATATACATATGGAGGCAATGTTTAAAATTTCTTACTAAATGCACTTATGAAATGCACAAATGCAATGTTGCCCAAAGATAGTCATTCTGCACAAGTCTTATTCAAGAAGGAATAACTTGAGTTATACACATTGGATTGCTACGATTTTGTGTGTCATTTTAAAGCTTAGAGACAGGGCTATAACTTTTATGTTTTGGTCTCAACCCAGTTCAATCTCAAGATACCCCAAAAGCACTCAGAAGGTCCCAGACGTGACAGGGCAGTTTTTCACTTAGGCTTTTCAAAACATATTGCATGCATACTCAATCCGAATTTGGCTACCATTCTATCTCTTTCTCAAGTCACCAAATTTGGGAAAAACTCCAGCAAACAACTACTAAACCTGCCAAAACAATACACTCCCAAAATTCTACTCAACTCTTCTAACTTCAACCAAACTTCAATGAATCATCATACAACCAAAACCACTTCTCATGGCAAATTCTACTCATTAATAATCATCAAACCCTCAATAATTCATCAATTTCATCTCAATTTCTCAATAATCACAACATATGCATATTTAAAATAATCTCTACTCACTTGAATTCTTAAATTTGCTTGAGTTGGATTTGAGTGGAATTTACTTACCTTTTGCTTGAGTAGTCTCTCCTAAGCTCTTACCTTGTTGGATTCAAATCTTCTCTTAACCCTAAGCATAAACTTCATAAGAACTCAACTTTACACAAAATAAACATGATAAAGAGCATGAATCTTGCCTTTTGATGCCTTGAATCAAAACCCTATGAAATCTACTCGAAAGCCCTCAAATTCCTTGGAAAAGTGAATGAAATTTGAGGGAAAAGGAGGAGGATGTGTGGGGTTGATATGAACGAAATAAGGGTTTCAAACCCTAACATTTTAGTTTATAAACCCACTTTCCCATTTTGCCCTTACTCTTTTAGAAATTCCATTTTGTCCCTTAAAAAGAAATTCCATCTTTGTCCCTTAGAAAGAAATTCCATCTTTGTCCCTAGTCAATTACCAAAATGCCTTCACTTTTATGTGATTCTCTATGATTTTCTATCTTTTCACTCCCCACAAAATCAACTAGTTTTGAGTGAAAAGACTATTTTACCCTTAATGCAAGTTTAGGGCATTTTCTTTATATCTCTTAAATAAATTCTAACAAAATTTAACTAAGGGCTATACAGCATAATTAAATCATGTACCTCATGTTGGGTGTACAAGTGGGAGGAAGGATGACTGAATATGGCACTTAGCCCGACTTAACATAGAAAAATAATAGAGATATTTAATTATCCGACACAGAATGAAGCAAGCTCAAGATAGCCAAAAAAGTTATGCAGATTTGAAGAGGAAGGATGTTGAGTTCGAAGTGGGTGATAAAGTATTTGTTAAAGTTTCCCCCTACAAGAGAGTGATGCGGTTTGGTGGTAAAGGAAAATTGGCACAAGGATATATGGACCTTTTGAAGGTTTCAACGAGTGGGGAATGTGGCTTATAAACTGGCCTTACCTCTTAGTAGGACAGGGTGCACAATGTTTTTCGTTTCGATGCTTCGAAGTATGTTAATGATCCTTCCACTATATTAAGAGTAAAAGATGTGGAAGTAGAAGACCATGGGGTATGGGAGCGATCAATTCAGATACTGGATAGAAAGATTAAAGAGCTCCGGAATAAGAGATCCCACTTTGAAAGTCTTACGGAGGAATCATAAGGTAGAAAAAGCAACATGGGAAGTAGAACAGAATATGCGGAACCGCCATCTGGAATTATTCACCTAAATTTCGGGGACACAATTCTCGTAAGAAATTGGGGGGGGGGGGAATTGTAACACCCACATAGAGGTATGTGACTTTTTCCTTATGTTCTAGTTGGTATGTCTTTATGTCAAGTAGAAATGCATGAAAATGTAGGAAGGAAAGAGTTACAGACTTTGCTGCGGCGAAGGAGACAGAATTTTTGTTAGTGAATTTTGGGGACAAACTTGCTTAAGGGCAATGGTTTTCCACCTAGAATTAGTGGACATATAGGGAGTGAAAAGTCATAAAAGTCATGGAGAATGCTTGGATGAGGTCATTATGGTCATTGCTAGGGGACATGATGGAATTTCCATAAAAGTGTAAGGGTAAAATGGGAAACTATATGAATTTCATTAAATGAAGAGTTCAATGAAGAAACCCTACCCATTTTCTCTTCAGCCCTCACACACTCTCTACACATCCTCTCAAATTCCTTCATCCAATTTCAAGGAATTTAATAGATCTTGGTCTCAATTGGGTGGACCTCCACTTTTAAGCCAAGGTAAGTCTTTACACCAAGATTTGAATTTTTAATGCTAGTTAAAGTGTTGAAACTTCTGTTGTTATGTTGTTAAGGTGTAAGAGGTAGATTATTGTGCTAAAGAAGACCAAAGGGTGAGTTGTCCACTTTCAAGGTAGTAAAACCCAACCCTAAGCTTGATTTGAGCAAGTTGTAGAGATTTGGATGTGTAACTAGGTGCTTTGTTTTTGAGATATTTTCATGAGATTAAAGTTCATGATAAGTGTAAATTCAGCCATGAGTTTTGCCTTTGTGGTGATAATGAGATTGGTTGGATTGGGTATGGATTTGTGTAGTATTATGAAGTGTGTTGGCCAGTTTTGATGTTGATTTTGGAGAAGTTTACTCCAATTTGTTAGTTTGAGACCAGAATAGAAATGTAGCTTATGTAGAATGAGTGAATGCATGCAAGTTGTTTGATAAAATGCCCAAGAGAAATGCATGCATACTTATATGTTGTTTTTACTTGATGTTGTGAGATGTAATGGTAGATGTTAGAGAGAAATTTACTTTTATGCTACATTGCATTGTTACATCTACATAGAAAGAATAAGCTACATGAGCAATTTACATGCATACATACTCACAAAAACATTAAAGAGTAGTAAATGGCATTAAAGAATAAGGAGAAAGAAAGAAAGCTATTAAAGAAGAATAGAAAGAAAAGAAAATAGGTTGTTGTGATGGGGAACCCGTGAGTGATAGAAAGAATAGTCCCACATACATGCCACGTTTAGTGAGTGGCCCCAGAATTAGAAAGAAATAAGAGTGCAATTCGACATAAGTGTATGTGGATGAGAACTGTACCAACAAGATAGTCCTACATGCATGCCACCTTCAGCGAGTGGCCACAAAATTAGAAAGAAAAGTGTACAGTCTGACAGCGGTGCATGTAGATGGGGATTGTACCCACTCATTAGCCAGGGTTCCAAGTCCATGCCTCAACCGAGTCCGATCGGCATAGAATAGAACAAAAAGAATAGAATAGAATAGAAAGAACAGAATAGAACAGAAAGAACATAATAGAATAAAAAGAATAGAACAAAAAGCATAGAACAGAAAAGAGTAGAATAGAAAGAACATAATAGAAAGAAAGAGGAGAAACAAAAAACAGAAAAGAAACTCCATTCTTTATGTATTTATGCATATGCATCATGGCATTCATGTAATTCAGAATTAGTTCTCCGTTTATGCTTACTTGTTAGTAAGTGAGGAACAAGAACCGAGAAAGAACAGATAGACAGAAAAAAGAGCATAAAAAGAGTAGAAAAAGAGAAAAAGAGAAAGAAATGTGTGGTAAGGAAAGAATTTTAGTATATGGACAACGGAGGTAGAATGGGTTAGCCTAGAGGGTTTACTTACTGAGCAATTAGTACTCACCTCGTTGTTTTCAATTTTTTGCTGGTAGAAGGTGAGGAACGATCAGAAAGAATGTCAAGGAATGGAGGAAGCGGCAACACTGTCAAAACTTTTAAGAAACTTTACGAAAGTTTTTGTATACAAAGAAATGGGCCCATATTTTGTACTCAAACATTTGTATTTATATATACATTATATAGCTTCTTCAGTCAGTTTTCTACTTATTTCTGAGTACACTAGCTAGTAAATAGTAGAGTTATAGAAAGAATCATCAGCAGAGCTAGACAACATTGCTAAAAGTGTACCGGGAACTCAAATGTTGTCAAATGATGTTGTTGCTACTTAGGTATGTGTTATGTATGTTGTATAATTGTAAAAACCTTAAGTTTTCTATAACATGTGCTAAATTGTGGTTATTAAACATTGACAGTGTTCCACTGGTCCGGTTCAGAATCTCACAGGAAATAGTAATTTATGTACTAGACAGGAGGATGCAAATGATGAACATGTTTCGTTGGGAGAGATTTGATATTGTTAACCGGTTGAAGCATATACATTTGTATTTGGTAGAAATTATTCGCGTTGTGGTTAATTTCTGACGAATGCAGTTGAGCTATATGCTGATTCAGTTGTTTTGTTTTTATTATTTTTGTTGTTGGTTGGGTAGGAGTAGGCTATTGGTTGTAGGGTGCTGAATTCATAATAATAACGTAAATGTATATATTATCCTTATTCTGAATGTTTTCAGTACATATTATCGTCACATTTCAATATATATTATTCTACATTTCATTTCAGATTTTAATTTTGATATGTCTTTTGGTAAGTTTAGTATTACATATACATGAGCATTCAGATATGTATTAAACAATAATTAATGATATGATACTGTGGCAAACATAATCTATAAGTAAACGGTCTCATATACACAGCGGAAACAAAAACAAATATAATATAGAGATTGTTTACATGAGCCAAGATCAAGGGTATAATTTTACAATTTTATCATAATAAGAATCTGCAGAAATATTAATCATGAGTTAAGAGAAACATACACACGTTGGAGGCTCTTCCAAATTTGTCAACGAATGTTTTGCTACCAATCCAAGTGTTGGATCGAACCCACGTAGTCCACACGAAGACAATCTCAAAAGAACCAAAGAGGGATTTGCTAGATCCTCTTTGGCTTCAAGATTAAGAAGAAAGCAAATCAATTGAATTGATTTTTAGGCCTAAAGTGTTTCTGTCGTGGGAGTGTATTGAGAGGGGCTGTTGTGTGTGTTTTTCTTTTAAAAGAGAAATAAAAAATTAATTGAATATAGTCTAATTATTAGTCATGGGTAGCTCGCAGCAAAGGTCTCCTCCATGCAGAAGAAAGCAACCGAGGTTGACAAAATTGTACGTAGGGCTAAAATAAAAAATTGCGAAACAAAGACTGGTAGGTATACACCCTTCTGACATGATATTTGTTTTTTAAACATTATTTACTTTAGTTTATAGTAATATTTACTGGATTATTAAGTGTTATACTACTTTATAGGGAAAGTGTAACACCCACATAGAGGTATGTGACTTTTTCCTTATGTTCTTTAGTTGGTAGTTCTTTATAATGCATGAAATCTAGGAATGAAGAGTTACAGACTTCGCCGCGGCGAAGGAATTTCTTCGCCGGGGCGACGTCTCTCGGTAATTTTTAGCCGTGGCGAAGGAGACAGAATTTGTTTAGTGAATTTGGGGACAAACTTGCTAAGGGCAAAATGGTCTTTCCACCAGAATTAATTGACATGTGGGGAGTGAAAATCATAAAAGTTCATGGGAATGCTTGGATATGAGGTCATTATGGTCACTGCCTAGGGGACATAGATGGAACTTTCATAAAGTGTAAGGGTAAAATGGGAAACTATACATAAATTCATTAATATGAGAGTGCAATGAAGAAACCCTACCCATTTTCTTCAGCCCTCGCGCCACTCTCTACACATTCCTCTCAATTCCTTCAATCCAATTTCAAGGAATTTAATAGATCTGGTCTCAATTAGGTGATCTCCACTTTTAGCCCCAAGGTAAGTCTCTTACACCAAGATTTGAATTTTTAATGCTAGTTAAGGTTTTGAATTCTTGTTGTTGTTGTTAAGGTGTAAGAGGTAGATTATTGTGCTAAAAGAAGACCAAAGGTTGTAGTTGTCCACTTTCAAGGTAAGAAACCCAACCCTAATCTTGATTGAGAAAGTTTGTAGAGATTTGGATGTTAACTAGGTGCTTATGTTTTGGATATTTTCATGAGATTAAAGTTCAGTGATAAGTGTAAATTCAGCCATGGTTTTGCCTTTGTGGTGATTGATGGAGATTGTTGGATTGGGCATGGATTTGAGTAGTATTACGAAGTGTAATGTTTGGCCAGGTTTTGTGTTGATTTTGGAGAAGTTTGCTCCAGTTTGGTAGTTTGGAAAGTAATAGAAATGTAGCTTATAGATGGTGATGCATGCAAGTTGTTTGATGAAATGCCCAAGAGAAATGCATGCATACTTATATGTTGTTTTTACTTGATGTTGTGAGATGTAATGGTAGATTTTAGAGAGAAATTTACTTTTATGCTACATTGCATTGTTACATCTACATAGAAAGAATAAGCTACATGAGCCATTTACATGCATACATACTCACAAAAACATTAAAGAGTAGTAAATGGCATTAAAGAATAAGGAAAGAAAGAAAGCTATTAAGAGATATAAAGAAAACAAAATAGGTTGTTGTGATGGGGACCCGTAGTGATAGAAAGAATAGTCTCACATACACCCCCATTAGGTGATGCCCCATAATTAGAAAAGAATAAGAATGCAGTTTGACAGAAGTGTATGTGGATGAGAACTATACCAACAGAATAGCCCTACATGCATGCCACCTTCAGCGAGTGGCCACAGAATTGAAAGAAAAATGTAAGTCTGACAGCGGTGCATGTAGATGGGGATTGTGCCCACTCATTAGCCAGTTTCCAAGCCCATGCCTCAACCGCCGATCGCATAGAATAGAATAAAG